CTGGAGAAAGCTGCAACACAAAAGGGACTTGGAGGTATTTATACATGAAACACAGAAAGCCAGGTCACAGGTGCAGCAGGTAATCAGGAAGGCTAATGAAACGTTGACCTTTATTTCAAGCAGATTGGAGCATAAGAATGGGGAAGTCCTACTACAATTGTACAAGGTGCTGGTGAGAATACGTCTGAAGTACTGCAAGCAGTTTTGGTCCCCTTCTTTAAGGAAAGATATCATCATTTCATTGGAGGCAGTACAGAGAGGGTTCACCAGGATGATTCCCAGTATGGAGAAGTTGTCTTCTGAGCAAGGGCTACATAGGTTAGGATTCCATTCATTGGAGTTTAGAAGAATGAAACGTGATCTCATTGAAACATATAGGAGCTTGACAGGGTAAATGCTGAGAGTACGTTTTCCCTCACGGAACAGTCTATAACCAAAGGGCATAGTCTCAGAATAAAGGGCCGCAAACTTAAGACTGAGGTGAGGAGGAATTTCTTTGGTCAGATGGTTGAAAATCTTGGGCACTCCCTGCCACAGAGAGCTATAAGGGAAGAGTCCTTTTACATATTTAAGGCTAAGATAGATAGATTCTTGATCAGTCAGGGAATCAAGGGTTACAGAGAAAATGCAGGAGAGTGGATGTTAGCAATGTCAGACCAGCCACATTTGTTTTGAGTGGCAAAACAGGCTCGAACAGCAGAACATTGGCTGTTCCTATTTCTTATCATCTCAGCCTGTAAATCCACCATTGCCCCATTTGTTTCTGTTCTTTATTTTCTGTCTATAAATCAACCCTCAATCCATACAATTACCCCAATCTCATGAATCCTAATTTGTGTATTAATTTCTTGTGTGGAACATTAAAAAAGGTTTTTTTGAAAATCCTGTCACACAATGTCTTCTGATTCACTCAGTTACATACAGGGTGCTAACTCCTCTGACTTCTACCAAGAAAGTTTTCTCTGAGAATACGCTAGCCTTCCACATGATTTCTATGCAATTCTTAAACTTTCAATGAAGATAAGACTCAGTGCCTTCAATGATCGTGGAAAATAAGATTTGTTAGTGAATTCTTATTTTGTTCACTGCAAGTCCCTATGTCAGCCATTTTACAAATTCAGACATTTTCAGCATTGAATTAGAAGAAGATCTGGCTCATTCATGTAGCATTGCTTGACAGACAGCCTAAAAAAAGAGACAACTGTGGAGATGAAGTTCAAGAGCTGCTAGAGAAAAGTGCTTTGTTTATACTAATGCAAGGTAACGTCAATCCTATGGATTTCATCACTTACGAGCAATATATGTATTAGGAGGAGGGGGACAACAATGAACTTCCAGATGCTCTGAAGAGAAGTCAATGTTAGACATGCACTTCCTGCATTGGAGCACAAAAGAGTTGAAGCAGGGCACTCCAGTTAGTTGAACAGAGAAGAGGTCACAATTAAGGGGAGGTAATGGCCTAGTGGTACTATCACTTGACTATTAATCCTAAAACCCAGTAATGTCCAGGGGACTCGGGTTCAATCCCAATCATGGTAGATGGTAGAATTTGAATTCAATAAAAAATAACCTGGGATTAAGAGTCTAATGATGACCATGAAATCACTGTGGCTTGTTAGAAAAACCCATCTGGTTCACTAATGCCTTTTAGGGAAGGAAATTTGCTATCTTTACCTGGTTTGGTCTACAAGTGACTCTAAACCATAGCAATGTGGTTGTCTGTCAACAGTCCTCTAGGAAATTAGATGGCTGATAAATACTGGCCTGGTCAGCATTGTACACATTCCATGAAATAATAAACTGTTAAAAGGCAGCTCATGAGATTAAAAGGTTGTGGCACATTATGAAGATACCATTGGTGTCTTAACTGTAAGACTGTATCCACTCTATAAGGTATGTAGAAACTGAACTGCTGGAAAATATATTGTATGTAGAGGCAAAGGCATGAGACACCGAGTGAGTTAGTGCAAAAAAGGGATGAATGCAATTGACCACAAACCTCACTGTTACCAAAAATTTTCTGAAAGCTTAAGGTTAACAAAGGCCTTGGAATTTTCATTCTCAGCAAAAAAAAAGTTGTCTGTGTTGCAAACCTATTAATGACCTAGTAAGCATTATTAATGAGGGGAAATGTATTTTGTCTTAGTAAAGAAAATATGTCATTACTTCAGTGCGTTATTAGAATTTATTATTAGAATTTATTTTTTATTAATGTCTCTAATTCGAAGGGAGTGCAAATTCCTAACGGGGCCATAACTTTACAAGATGATTTCACATTGACAGTACTTTCATGGCTCCTGTAGACTATATCATGTGTTGAACGCCACCTGAGGGGACATTTTGGTTCAAAATTCCAGCCACAGATGAACATTGTCTCGCATGTAGTCACAGAAGTATATAAAGTCACAAAATAGATCAAAATATGTCAGAAAACGATATTTTAGCCATCAGTTTAAAAATATAGTTGAGATCATAAAAATTGATTAGTACATACTTAAAACCAAAATTAAAATGAATGGCCAAATTATTACTCCATATTTTGGTAAATCCTACTGAAACTGAAATTTTCAACAAACAAAAAGGATGGTGCAGAAAGTAATAAAATTAAAACTAAATTACCTGTAATTAGTTAACACTCAATGTGTGGATTAGACTCTAATCTGACTGATCTAAAGCAAAAATAAGTTGCATTTCGGTAGCACCTTTCATGGCCTTACAATGTCTCAGAGCACCTTTAGAATTTTTGAATAGTTGTAATAGTTGTTATTTTTCAGCCTATCTACACACAGCAAAGTTTGTCAAACAACAATTTGATAGCCAAATAATCCATTTTAGTGATGTTAGTTGACGAATAAATATTGTCTGGGATGATGGGGAAAGCTGCCCAGCTCTTCTTTGAAAGAGCGGCTTTTGATCTTTTATGAACACAAGACGACACAGCATCTTGGTTAAACATCACAGCTGAAAAAACAAGGGATCAGCCTACATTCTATGCTCCCGACTTGAAACCTCAACTTTTCATTGCATGAAAGTGGCACGACTGAGGCCCAGATAATCTGTGGTCATGAAAAGTACTGGCTCTCAACAGTATCACCTTTATTTTACTGAGCCAATAATAAGGAGGTTGACTCCTACATATCTCATTAAGATAAAGAAAACAAGTTTATCTTTCCAGCTAAAATGTATTTACAAGACAATTTACAAAAAAAAAGTGGTGTCACAATACTTATGCTTAACTTATACACAGTGTTCAATAGACCAACTACTAAGTATCCTTCCCAAACTATTTTCAGAACGTTGATAATCGCAAAATGAGCATTGTGACATCGAAATAAAGGATTGAAAATAGACGAGGAATATATTGAATTTTATCTACACCTATACTGCTTCACAGAGGCCTGTTGCTATTTCAGAGCTTCCTTTTGTACAACAAATTTGGAAAGATAACGGACCACCAACTTTGACATGCTTTCTTATCAACAGCCTAAAATTGTCTATGGCTCTGGTGTTTTGGTCTCAGCCGATGGCAATAATGGATAAGTCAGAGTGTACATTGATGTCTGGCTTGATCTTTTGCAATTTGGGTTACCATGATGTTCAGTCACAGAACATATTCACGAGGGGCCACCAATACAGTTTTAACCAAAGAACATCAACATTTACTGCAGTCAAGAAAGAGGATCTCATATATGCACACAATATTCATGCCGTTCCAGACACTCAACTGAGTGAAGTATCGCTCATTTCTCCAGCTTTGAATTTCTTTCTCAACAGATCAGGTCGCAGGCATTTTCATTTATTAGATGTGATTCTCGCCATTTCTCTCCGTGACACACACATCACAGGCTGATGCATTGGATTTTCTGACTTAGCTCCAAACAATCATCTCATGGCTTTCCTTTTAAAACTTACTTTGACTACTCCTGAGGCTGTGAAACAGCACATATACTGAAATCTTTTCTTCTCAACCGCACTTATTTCCAGCCTCTAGCCTCTCCAACTCTCTCCCTTTTACTTCTGGGGTGGCACAGTGACTCAGTGGTTAGCACTGCTGCCTCACAGCAGCCAGGAACCCAGGTTCGATTCCACCCTCGGGCGATTGTCTGTGTGAAGTTTGCACATTCTCCCCATGTCTGTGTGGGTTTCCTCCAGGTGCTCCGGTTTCCTCCCACAGTCCAAAGATGTGCAGGTTAGGTGGATTGGCTATGTTAAATTGCCCGTGGTATTCAGGGATGTGTAGATTAGGTGGGTTAGAGAGGGATTGGTCTGGGTGGGATGCTCCGAGGGTTGGTGAGGACTTGTTGGGCCGAAGGGCCTGTTTCCACACTGTAGGGATTCTATGAATTCTATGAATACCCCTTGCCCCCTGCTGCAGGTCAAGAAAGCTCAACTTAGTAGATTAGCTAATTCAGTAATTATCTCACTGGGTAGCCTTTCTAGTAATTTATCTTGAGCCATATGATTTCTTGGAAATGCCCTTTCCACCATCTGCTAAGTCTTTGATCCTAAGAAAACCAAGTCACTTTCATATAGTTGAAAAACAAAATTCATATTGATCTCTAATTTGGAACCCAAGTGCCCAAACATCATTAACTTCCTTCACATTGAAGAATTAGATATTGCAATCACACCTGCGGTTAGGAATTCAAAGACCTGATATAACTGAAAATGAAGGAAAATGTAAAATCTCAAATTCCTCCCCCACTTCCCTTAACACAAGTTTTTTTTTGACCGAACCTATACAAAAAAAAGCAGAGGTGGCAAGGTAAACAACAGAGCTCTACTTAAAACAAGTAACTTACTGAACGGCGTGAATGTCAAATTTTCGCTTGTTATTCGAAGAAAAATGAAGCTTTGCATCCAGCATATAAGAATGAGTACAAGTGAATACAAATAATGAGGATTTGAAGCTCTCATCAATTGTTCTTCTTCTGTCTAGCTTTTGACCACAGTTGCTATACAACATTAGCAGCTATTTAAAATGAGATATACGTACTCACCGGTATCCATTTGCCAGACATAAACAGATCCATCAGAACAACCAACAACTAGATAATCATCAGAAGGTCTCCATTTGATGACTTGAATAGGAAATAAATGCCTTGATGCGAGCATTATGCACTTCTTGTCTCGAAGGCTGAGAAGACCCACCGAGTGATCACTGGCAACCGAGCAGATACAGTACTGAACTCGAGACTACAACCAAAGCCAAAAACAAAGAAAATGTTTACTTTTTAACATTAGGCATATATTTTGAATTGGAGACATGTTCATTAAAAAAACACTTTGTCTTGCATGAACTATGTAATTATAAGTTAATTATATTAGCCTTACCAAATAACGTCAACATGAAAATTGCTAATAGGCTAATGAAACGTAAATGCAAGAGACTAGGAGAGGAAAAGATTCTATTGAGGATAACAAAATTTTAGAACAGCAATTGGCACACTGTTGGAAGTGCAGAATATGCCACTGCTCTCTTGCCAGCTTCCAGTACTCTCTAAATTTTGTGAAAAACTCTGCTTTCTTTACCCTGTATCACATTCCAATGTAAAGGTGTTCAAGAAGATACAAAGATGTACAACCAGCCCTTAGGAGGTTGTGAGTGTGTTTCTAAAAACTGTGAATTTAAATGAAACCCAAGTTCCCGTAAGAATGAATGTAAAGCTGGAGTTATGCTCCAGACAAACTTCCTCAACAGGAAAAAAAAAATTAAACCACTTATACTGTCAATTGAAATATTTTAAAATGCTTAATTCCTGTATTGCAAGTTAATGAACTTTTAAAATGAAGTGAATTGAAAAAGACAAAGTAACTTTCTACCTTCAGTAACTTCCTCCCAACCCTCCAATGAGACCTCTCCCTGGTCCTGAATCACTGACTTGCAAACTCTTCCAGTGCATGACACACCCTCTCACCATTTACCTCTCACGAACCTGTGTTCCCATTCAAGATCCAGATCTTATCTGACACTGAAGCTCTTGGGTTGTTGAAGTCCAAGTCTTGATGCTGCAAAAGTGCTGAGCTGGGGCTGTTACAGGTCATGGGTTCTTTAATTGCTCTTACTTGCCATTTCCCTTGCCTGAACTCTCATTGAGTGAGGTCAAAATCATTCAGCACAGCAACAGACCCTTTGGTACAACTCGTCTATGCTGACAAAGTTTCCCAAATTAAACTAGATCCGATCTCTAGGGACGAGGAGAAAAAGGCAGGAGGACCAGTTTCAGCCATCATTTAAAAAAATATGAATTCTAGCAGCCCCAGCTCAGCATTTCTGTACTATCAGGACTACTTGTACAATCACAACCCTATGGCTATGGTATCCAGCCAGACCTAGATTTTGAACAGAAACACCAATTCAAGAGACGGAGGTGATGAGAAGTTGAATCAAGGAGCAGGAGGTTCAATGAGACAGTGAGACAATGAGTCAGAGAGGGGTAAGAGACCACAGTTTGGAGATCAGGCACATAGATAGGCCACAACTGAGAAGTCAAGTAGGGGGTGACGTCACAGGGACAGGCCATAAGTCAGTAGACAAACGCAGAGAGATAGACTGCAAGGCAGTGAGTTAGAATGTGAAGATGCAACACCAAATAGTGCCAATTAGGTCACATTGGAAAATGTATTCAAACAAATCTTGCAACATCCAACAAGATTACATGCTTCATTAACTAACCAACACCAAACAGGCCAACATTAACCGGAGGCTTAGTGCCAGAACGGTTTCAGGGATGGAGGATTTTGGAGAAGGAGGGGATGTTCTCTTTAGAACAAAATATAAAGGGAACACTTAGCTCAAGTATAATAGCTTATGACAGATATAGATAAAATCGACTAAAGAAAAGCTATTCCCATCAGTAAAGGGACCAGAGAGCACAGACTTCAGGTTTTTGAGGAAGAATTTATTTTAAACTCAGCAAGTGATAATAACTTGGAAATTTCTTCCCACAACCATGGTACAAGTGACAAGGATGACATGTTGCTTCCAATATAGAAACCCCAAGTATAAAGACTTTGAGAATTACTCATGGAAATCCACTAATATACAAGAACCAAGAATTTAGAACCATAAAAACGGGTGAAATTTGAGAACTGTTCACTACAAAAGAGCAGCAACAAATGGTTTTTAATACTAGTTGTAACTATGTAATGGCTCCTTAATTTCCTTCAAATAAAATATCCAAAAAGTCAGTCAACCATGGTTAAAAAATGACACTAAGTTTTGCATCAGATTAGGAGATCTACAACATTGTCAGGATAGTGGTAAATCTGAGGATTGGGAGGATTTTAGAACACAGTAATGAAAAGAAGCATCAAGAAACTGATACAGGAGTATAGAATACAACTGCAAACTAGCAAACGATATAAAAATGGACTTTAAAAACTATTATAGGTGTGCAAAAAAGAAACATTTGACTAAGCAAACATTTGACTGTAGGTCCTTTCTTGACAGAGTCAGGAAACATTACAATGGGGAATAGAAAAATGGTACAGAATCTAATTTATTCATTTTGTTTATTTTTACAAAAATAAAATGTTTCACTTTGATTTGACAGGAGTCAGTTTCTTTCATTTGTTGAATGCCTTAAAATCCAAATATAAATTCTCAGACCGCCACCTTATAACAACATTTGAATTTGCATTCTCTGGATTATTAGTCCAGAAGTTTTCTTCCAAACTATGAATTATACAAACTGGGAGTAGGATTGGCTATTCAACACTTCAAAACTGCTCTGCCATTTAACAAGATCATGGCTAATCTGACTGTGACCTCAAATACGCACTCCCTCATACTCCTAATAACTGTTCTTGCTTACCAATAGCCTATGCACTTCTGCTTCTACCACCTGTTCAGGAAGAGAGCAATCATGGAACAAAACTGAAGGCCCCATTACAGCTCAATGAGTTTACAGAAATGCTTTTCAGTATGAATGTAGACACACGCATTTATAATGGAAATTATTAAGAACACAATTTTAAATTAAAGACTAAACTATTGCGACAAACAAGGGAAGGGTAAGAGTGGACTGTCTCTATGAAAGTGCCACTACTCCACTAGTCACAACATACATTAGAAAAGTGTTTACCCAATTCTCCATATAGCCAATTATATATAATAATCTGTCCATTTCAGAAGACTAATCTACTACCAGATTATTTTTGACAAATATCAAAACTATTTATTATAAAAGAATTATTTAATAAAAGATGCAAAGCATATTATGTGTGTTTAAAATATGATATCCTTCTAAATAACCTAACAGACAGACGACAATTATACAAAAATTGAAGAAACTTTCTCTGCAGAGAACTGTACAAAAAAAACTCATGTCAAATAACTGTTAATTTGTGAAGAAGAAAAGGATAAGATATGAAATGTTCCAGATGGCTTTCTGTCTGACATCTTGACACAGGTAGAGTGATGTTGATAAATACAGGTAATTGTCAGACACAGTTGTCACTGGAATCATTTCAGAAATAGTCTGTTCAGGAAATGTCAAAAGGAAGGCTCCCAGAAGCTCTTCAGAGGAATAATTGTATTACCTTTCAAATCTCTCATTGGATTCTGAGAAGCTTTTCCAAAACACTTAAAAAAAAAGTTGGTTACATCCCAAATGAACTCCAAACAGAATGAAATAACCACGACTCCTGACAACCATAAACTCATGCGTGTGATTTCTAGCAAATAAGTTCAAATGGTTCAAAGGATAGCTTACAGCATCTAACTAAAAAGTCCGAACTGCCTTTTAGTGACCATTTAAAACCAAGTCCATACTTCTTCAATCTTTGAAATCAACCAATTTCCTCAATTCTTTAAATACAAGCCCTTAAAAAAAATTAATAATTTAAGTGCCTTCATAACTGCTCGCCTATGTACTGTAGGAGCAAATTACTGCAGATGCTGGAACCTGAACTGAAAACAAAATATGCTGGAGATCAGTGGGTCAGGCAGCATCCATGAAGCGATGACTCTGACGAACATAGTCATCCACACCCAAAACGTTAGCTTGGTTTCTCTACATGGATGCTGCCTAACCCACTGTGATCTCCAGCCTTTTTTGTTTTCTGCCCATGTACTTTGTTTGAATTATCCACACAATCTAACTCTGCGACGTGTCAAAGATACACTTGCAGTAGACTCCCAACTGCAACATCACAGTGTACTGACTACAACAAGTTCCATACACTTCACATAGTTGGGTGCAATTCCTTACTAAATAAAAAACTATTTTGTTGTATTTTTCCTTGGGAATAGTTTGTAAATGCTTTAAAAATCTAGTGTAACCCACTTGTTCAAAGTTGGACATTGACATTTTTCCACGTAACTGAAGTTACAACGTGCATGATCTAGGCGTAAAGATTGTCAAAAGCCCCTTGCTTTCACTTTAAAATTGGCAGTTATATCACTGGAAGAAAAATCACATGCAAAAGAAAACCCTTATTACTGGTGCATTTAAAAATAACCAAGTGACATGGATCCCACGTCTGAAAGCTTGCATTTGTACTTTTAAGTAAAATTGGGTAGCTGGCTTTTTATAAACCTTTGATAGTAAGAACCATACACATTCAGGGAAGCAAAATCCCCATCGGCCAATCTAAATGGAAGGTTGGATCTAAACCACTCTGAACAGTTATCCTTTGGGACGAGGTCTCAGCATAATCAAAGCAAATTTTGAAGTCATAATTCAAGCTGTAACCTAGGAATATGCAAAGCACAACAGGCAGTGACTTATTTATCTGCATAACAAAAAATCTTGAACACTACTAAAAATATCCACTTTTGAACACTATCACGGGAATCGAGCTGACAAGGGTGAATTCGAGCTAAGTGAAAGAAAGAACAATGCTGCAGAAATCTGAAGTGCACATTCCCACGGGAGGAATAAGTGTCCATAAGAATCTTTTTAAAAAATTAATAAAAACTTTAAGACATACTATCTTTCTCAGACTCCCAGAGCAACAAGGCTTTTAAACGCAAGAAGGGCGATGTTCAATAAATGTTGCACAGAAAGTTGAACTGTAAAATTTGATCATGTTTATGATAGCTTTAAATTAACACTGGACACTTAATTTCCAGTGTTAAGTATGCTTTTTTTTTGGCATATGTTTAAAATGTTCCAACGTCTCAAGTATCATAAAAATGAAAAGCCTTTAAAAATATCAAGAAATTGCATCAAGTTAACAGTGTACTCAAG